ACCACTTGCACTTTGGTGTGTTTTCTTTTGCAGCCAAACACAAAGAAAAAAACAGACCCCTCCTTCTTCTTATTTTCTTCTTTGTTGGTCCTATAAAGGTTATGGTTTTGGTTCTTGATGGTGCTGCGGTGTTCATCGGCTGGAAAGTGAGGTTCACGGAGGTGACATTGGTGGTTTAAGGAGGTTGTAATCGATTGCGATTTTCAGTAGTGGAGGATTGTGGTTGGCGGTGATTAAGGCGTGCATCTAATGTCTCACAATTGATGTCTCCATAAACACTTTCACCATCGATTACACCTCCATCTCCACACCACTGATGTGCTGAAAACGAAGAGCCCTAACCTTTTATTTGGATTTTTAGATATTGGTAATATAGCTTCGATTTTTTATTTTTATATCTGGTTCTATAGCTTTGATTGGAAGTAATATAGCTTTCCTGTATTTGAATGTATGATTTATATTGTAGACTCTGATATGTAGGATTGTCTTTCTTATTAGGCTCCATAGGATTTAACAATTTTGATTAAATGTGTTGAGATAACAAAAATGTAAGTTTGTTTACGTATGCTCATATGTTGTTTGTAGGCTTTCCAATATAACCCTACAAAAAAGACCAACTATACGGCGTTTTCAGTTTTTCCAACCGAACTAATCTTGATGGTGCTCATAAAGAATGAATGGTAACTGACTTATTTATTATATTTACGCGTTTGGTGTGATTTCTGATGTTTGAACCGACTTTGAATCCATTTCTTGGTATTATTTCTGATAATTGTATTTAGAACTATTTTTAAAGGTTTTGGATATTTTTGCAGGTTTGAAGCAACCTTCTCCTATCTCTTTGTAATTAGAATTTGAATCTTTTTGCAACTTTTAAGCAATTTGTTGTTTGGTTTTAAAGTCCTAAATGTTGTGTTTTGGTCCATCTTTCAGGCTTAAAAGAGCAGTTGAATATTTGAACCTTTTTGCTATAGCTTCAAGTTTCTATAAACAAGCTGCTAACTTTGGCCTTTCAGTGCTAATTCTCACAAACACGCATGTTTATCATTATTCCAAGTAAGTAAGTTTGACGTTTTCCTCTATCTTTTTATGGGCTAATGATCTATTTATATTCTTAATTTCTATTCGAGCATCTAATCTAGATATGAAGTTTTATTTTCTTTTTAGTCTAATTTGAAATTTACATGATGTTATACTCCATTTTAGGTAATAATGTTAATGAAATCTCTATCAAATAGTTAAGCAATCTCTACCTTTAGTTATTCTTGTTTTAATGTTAATAATTAAATAAATTACATATTAATCATTTGTTAATATGTTGCAGTAATAATTCTCTATACAAGAAAATATGGTTTTGTAGCTGCAATTGGTCTACTGATATGGGCCAAGAAGATTGGGCTGAATTTTGTAGCATAAATGAAGAGATTATAGACGACAAGGGTTAAAGATGTACGTTCTTAATTCATTTGGAATGCAGTGGCTGTTTACAAAGTTGATAGAAGAAAGGAGTGCGGATCTAATGACCCGACATATTATGGATTTAACGTGGATTCCTAAGTAAATAACTCATATTCAGAGAGTGAGATTAATATAACTCATTTTATAACTCTCTTCTCTCCTCTCTGAATTTTCTCAACTAGATATTTGAGGGTTTCTTCATAACGTTGCTTTGTTCATACGTCTTTGATTCAACAAGTTTATACATTTGTGTCTTGTTGATCTGTTTTAAGTATTTTAGGAGTGTTATATTTTTAAACATGTAAACTGTAAGAAACTTGATTTGTATGTTAGAAGTTTATCTGTTTCAGTAATCCTTGATCTGTTCATGAGATATTAGTTTTGAATTTGTCCAAATCAGTTTGATGTAAAATAACATCAAGTGTGTTTCTCTTCATTTTTCTTCTCTATAGATTGGTACCTTAGATGGAAACCAATTTAAAGTTTGACATAAATACTTTTTATAAACTTTTGCTATTTGGTGTGAAGATTATGAAATGTAGGAAAAGGATAAAGGTTAAAAGATGGAAGACCTGATGTAATAATAGAGGTAAAGAGCAAAATGGTCTTTTTTTGGTTTCCTTAATAAAATATTTCATTTTTTCTTTATTATTGGATTTGTTTATTTAGAAAGTTGTGTTTGCAGGAAACATGGTGAGGTACAAGATTGACCAGGGTTACAGTCACATGGTGGAGTCACATGCATGGTGTGTTCTTAGTTCTAGAACTCTAGAAGAGGATGCAAGTGAGCCTAATTCTGGAACTCTAGAGAAAGTATATTTGTAGAATACTTGAAGGTCCAGAAAGGCTGCAAAGTATCGTTAGTGTTTAACATGAGTTCTGTATATAACATAGTAATACATGTTGAGTGACTTTGCACTATATTAAAGCCCACATTTAATTTCTTTAATGTCAAACATGATGATTTGAAATACATCAAAAGTAGATTTGATTGATTGACTTATTTATTTGAACAAACTTGCAAACAATATCCAAAATTTCATGATAAAATATATCTAAGATTTTAGATTTTGACTTGATTTTTATAAATTACACATCATATTAATTGAAAATCTACCAAATATTATTATTAAAACATTATATACATTATAGAAATATTATTATTAAAAAAATTGAACACAAAAAAAAAATTAATACATAATAGATGACAATGTACATTTTTAATGATATCTATTCTTTGTGAATTATTAATATTTTCTTAAATTAATAATTAAAATTATGATTTGAGTATTAGCCTTTTTAAGACTTAATACAATTTGAATGGATAATTAAGTTATTATTATTTAATAAATACTAGGCGTGAGACCCATGTATTACATGAGTTTATTTAAAAAAAATTAAATATAAAATTTTAACAATTTGAAAAGTTTGAATTTATAAGAAAAATGAAAAAAATTTTGAATTATTAAAATTAATGAGACTTTAATGTATTGAATACATTACATATATAAACCTTTCTAATAAATATCTTACATATATATTACTTTACATATTAAATGTGAAATTTTAATTTAATAAAATGAAAAATACAATAAAATGACAAATGGAAAATAGAAAATTTAAAAATTTTAGAAAATGTCATGTGTCCAAATAAAGGAAAAGATGACATGTGGCAAAAAACATTCATTTATTAGAGTAGATTTCATTTTTTCAATGATTTATCTGTATTACATATAATAGCCTTTTATTTTATTCTTTTTCATTACATTCTATATTTATATCTTTTTTAATAACATATCTATTATAATTTAATATACAAAATAAATATTAATACATGGATGAAATGTTATATTTAATTTTTTTTTGTTAAAGTCAATCAAAACGAAAAAAATCTTAAATATTTATAAATCTAGCGATAAAACAACAAGCTAGTGTCGAGGTATGGTGCTATAAACACATGCCAAAGGAAAAATGTTGGTTTTTGTCATGTCAGACAAGTTTCACCTCAACCTTGTTGAGCTCTACTTTCTTTTAAGTCTTAGAACAAAGTCTTGAGTAAACTATGATCGAATGGTTGTGAAACTTTAATCGACGCAGAACAACATATATTACAAAATAACATTAATAGTAAAATGATATTTTAGTGTATACATTAAATATGGTGTATAAAGAAGTGTTGCATAATTAATAATGCATAAACAATCATGTGTTCATGTATATTTGTAAAAAATTCCAACTCTTCATTTTATTTCTTATTGATTTCGTTTATGTTAGCATTACTCTTATTGAATATTGGTTAGTTGTAGTAAACTATTTGCGTAAAATAACTAATAGCTTCTATGAATATTGAATAGAGTTGGGCAAAATAACCGCGTTCATGATTTGAAACGTTTTGAAATCCAAAACCGATTAAAAAATGAACATGTTTGGTGCTATCAAATGTACATTGCTATTTTTTTTGCATTTAGCCTAATTAGGTGCTAACGGCAAGAATTATCAATGTACTTTGATTGTTTTTTCTTTCTAAGCATTTTGTTGGTGAAGAAAATAATATAATTAGTATTCATATATGTTGCATAAGTTTTTTTTATAAAATTTATCATTTGATTGCTTTTTTTTCTCAAAAATAAATAAGATATCAGTGCAAGACAATATGGATACAAAGATTTTCCACAAAAATTACATGGAATCCGAGCTAACGTCGTTGGAATCCTCAAAACCAAAGATCAATACGAGGTTATTTGGTTTCTTCTAATCCCACCGAAGGAGAACCATACTACATTCACCTACTTTTATCGCATATTAGTGGTTTTACATCTTTTGAAGATCTCTATACTGTCAACAACGTAAAACACCCAACTATTCGGGGAAAAAACCAATCGCCTTTAGAAACTAATTTCCAAAAAAACTATTCGAACCCGTCGCTTGGCGCGGGTAAACGGCTAATATATATATATATATATATATATATATATATATATATATATATACACACATGTATTTATACACATATAAATTGATACACATACATACATACACATACAAATACATGCGCATGCATACATACATACACATGCACATATGCCATTTTTTTCTATGAAAACCAATTTCCAGACTTTTTTTTCGCTTCGCAATATATTGTTCCGAGTTGGAACCTTCGCCATGTATTTTTACAGATTTCCGACGGATTCCTTAGAAAAATTATTGTTTTCAGTCGATAATCACCAACGGATTTCGGACCGCTTTTCCATCATAAACTTGACCTAAATTAAGGTTTCGTATTCTGTTGCGTTTCAGTTGTTTCAGTCGATATTGTGTCAGTGTTTTGGGACTGTATTTTTCCATCGGTAATATTGTTGAAAAAAGTACGCTTTTCTAGTAGTGAAAGCATATACCGACAGAGTAAAAAAGTTCCATCGAGGTAATACAAAAGATCTCATACGTGATTATCCATGTAAATTTCAACTGTTCTCATTTAATTTAATCGCAAAGATTCAATCATAAAAGTGATCAGTATATGATATTATTACATCACTTTTGAATGGGCATCATATCATAAGCTATTGGTGATACAAACTGCACACTTCGTAGTTGTTCAAACGATAGCTATGTAAAGTAGGAAGATTATATCTTTAATTTATATTATAATTATAGATGGCTTACCATTCAAGGATGTGGAACTTTCGCCATTTAGACCTTAACCCTGCAGGTGAGCTAATATGCTATATGCTGATACGTCTAATTGGCTGTAGGAGGAGGTGGTGATCCGCCACTGGCAGGAGGTGGGGATCCACCGGCTGGAGGAGGCGGCGATCCGCCATCCGAAGGAGGAGGGGGCGATCCGCCAGCAGCAGGAGGTGGTTTTCCATCTTTTCCAGGAGGTGGTTTTCCATCTTTTGCAGGAGGTGACGTCTTGTCACAGTCATAGTAACAGAAGCAAGTATTTTTGTTCTCTCGCTTATGACAAGCTCCATGGATTGCCTTCTCCCAGTCTTTGCACTTTTCGTCGCACAGCTTGCTGTAGCAGTTCCCGGAGTACATCTTGCTACCCTTCTCACATATTTTTGGTGGTGGTTTAGACTCACTCGCGATTTCTTTTCACGTCATGCAAAATTGAGTTTAGGTAAAAGAAATTTAGTTAGTTAAGTTAACAAGCAGGGAAGAAGTAGAAAATTCTTGATGTTCTCCTGAATCACCGAGTAAAAGTTGTTTCGGTTAATTCTCGATCACTGTTGTGAATTCCTTAACAAGATTTTAAAGGGTAAACCGGAGAAATCACACTTACATAATGTTTCCGTGTTTCGATGTTTATAAGTATAATAATTTAGTGTTTTTTAACGTCTTGATAACGTAATCCATGTTCAAGAAAAATGGTAATGAAGTCATAATACAAGAAAAAAAATGTTTATTGTATTAATTGTAGATCCATGTTTGAGCATATGCTCTCTTAATTCATTTCTTGCTGTTCCAAAAATAAGTAAATAAATAAATAAATAACACATAATTTTGCTAGGATAAATTATATATCTTCCTACTTTTTTCCTACAAATCATCGTATTAATTGGTGACATGTATAAATTTAATACTTATTTAATGATATTTTAGTATTCTAATGTAACACAAGTCGTCATTTAAATGATAGTATGATTTATAAAAACAAAAAGTAGGAAAATATTTAATTTCAATTTTGCTAGAATACAATTGCGGTCGTCCGAAAATCTTGCTATTGTATATATAAATATATGACGGCATGTATCTAGTATAATAGTTTATGAGACACGTAAAGAGAAAGAGATTCCCAAAAATACAAAAATAGTACTATAAGATTTAGTAACACAAATATAATAAAATGTATGTAATTCCCATTATTTATGTAACATCAAAATCGCCATTAATTGAAGAAAACCAAGCGTAAAGAAAAAAATCTCTTTTCTAGAAACAGGAGTTCAGTTATAATCAGAATTTAAAAAAATTGGGCGTGCATAAGTTCCATCCAGCACCTGAGATACTAAGAGCCAAAACCAGTAGAACGAATACTGAAGAAACTAATGATTTTTCAACCATATTGAGTTATGATGAGGCTCAGAACACTCGCTACGAGTTGGGTGAATTAAAGGCGTGGTAATGGGGATTTATAAGCGAAGGAAAAAGCAGTTTCAACGAAATACGTGTCGAAGATGAACACTAACATTTATTAGAAAGATTAATAATATATTAATGGGAAAATGACACAAAGAACATTAAATTTTTATTTTTTTTATTTTTACACTACAGTTTTTTTTTCTAAATTAAGTATCATATTTTCCAATTTTGTTGAATGCTGACTACATATATGAATCTTTTAATCTGACCCTTTATATATTGAATGTTTGAAAGTGAGTTCGGTGAAGAAAACTAAATTTGTGTCAACCTTCTACTTCTATGCTTCGCTATAGTTACAAGTCTTAGTATTAAGACTCAGACATTGAAGAAAGTGATGAAGGAGAAGCTTTTTTACTATGGTGAATTGGATGACGATGAAAAAGATAAAGAATATACACTTCAATCAAACGTGCCAATTGATGATTTTTTAATGAACTTTGTCATCATAGATAGAGTATAGAAAAGAATCAAGATGAAAAAGTTCAAGAGGATTGGTATTTTGATAGTGAAGGAATTAGAGAAAAGAAAACGAATTAATGATGAATAAATAGAAGTTGGTGTACATGGTCAACAATTTTTTAAGAACATGAGACCACATATTGGCGAATGGTATACAGTATAGATGAATTGTGTTGTTACAGTATAGATGAATTCTGTTTTTGTTTGACAAACTACGCAAATGCAAATAGGTATCCACTTAGGATTGTAAAATATTCTACACAACGGATCCGTTTTGACAATTCGTAAAGGCATGGCCATTGAGATCGAAAACAACGAAACTTTGAGAACACCACAATCATATATAAAGATTAAGTGAGCATGATTACTAATAAAGGAACTTTAGGAACCCATAATGACATTTCATAAAGGAACGAGCCATTGAGAACAGTGATAAAGGGTGTTTTGAAGGCACTATGAATATCCATAAATGTCAAAAGCAACTACGACAACAAGGTCTCCGACTAAGTTCTCACCAAGCAAATGGGGTACATAAGAAAATAGATAATGTTGATTAACGGATGTTTACAATCGGCTAGAGCCTAGGTGTTGGTGAATATGTCCCTTACGGATGAATTTATAATGCAAAAAGGAGTAACACAAGGCGATCGCTTATAACCATTTTTGTTTATAATTGTAATGGAATGGTTGAATGTAACCATGAAAACGGCATGCGAAAAAAAAGGCTATTTAAAGGAATAAAAATTCCAAATGTCGACCTAACTATATGCCACTATATCCCAAATTTTCTATGCATGCAGATGATGCGCTATTCGTTGGAGAGTTGAACAAGAGCAATACAAAGAATCTTGTAAGGGTTTTTAGGTGCTTCCATATGTCTTCGGGACTCAAAGTCAACTACCAAAAATCTCAGGTGTTCAGCATAAGAGCAAATCCACATGAGGTGGAGAGATGGGCAACGCCTCTTGGTTGTGAACTGGCATGTAACACTCGTTTTTGAAAATGCTTCGTTGCTCGGGGCTGCGGCCCAGTTGTCAATTGTCATAAGGTTTAGGGCCTTGGGAAAGGAAGGATTTGGCCCAGTTCGGAGGTGGGTGTCATAGTATAAGTGATCCGAGCGTTCACTTGTGTCTTCAGAGGCCAAGGGTATAATTGTAATTAGGTATCTCAGCCTTTTGTGGATTTTGGGTTTAATCCGGGAAGGTTTTAAGGCTTGGGTGAGTTATTAGGAGCGTAGGGCTTCTCGCCACCTTTTCGTGGATATAAGGTTCGTTGGAAACGGACCTAGAATGAGGGAGTTATGGTACTTTAAAGGTTTTGGCAGAATTGGCCCCTAATGGAAATATTTGGCAGATCAGTCCCATGCATGCAAGGATGCATGCGCGTGTTTGGCTTGGTACGCTAAGCTGGGGTACGCCCAACATACAAGGCTAAGTGGTCGAGGGTGGTTTGTGAGTACGCTGAGCGTACTAAGAGGTACGCGGGGTGATGCGACTTCGGCTCCGACCACCTGCTCTGAGAATGTGCTTCTACGCCGGAGACAGATCTGCGAGATCACAACAGACAAGGCCGTTAGATCCGCCCCATGGACTGTGCCCCGGGAGCGGACTCCGACGATCAAGTTAGATCTGAGATGGTTCTCTTTAGCTAGAGAGAATCATCTTGGTGTTGGTGGTGGTTTATGGTGGTTAACGGCGGCGGGTGGCGGCTGAGCCACTTGGGGAAGAGTCCTCTTTCATGGAGGAGACATTATTTTATTTATAGTGGACAATTAGGTCAAGGGGAATTAGGTCAGGCCTTGGGCCAGCCCAATTCAGGCCCAACTAGCAAGGAGTTGGGCAAGGCCGCCCGGAGGCGCCGGGCAGGGCTGGCGGGCGCGCCCCAGGCAAGGTTGGCGGGTGCGAACCAGGAAAAGGAGCACCAGGCCGGGCCGGCAGGAGAGTCCCCAGCATAAGGCTCTAATACCAAATCCCTTTCTCTTTGAAAATCTTTCTTGAATCCTCGGTTTGAGTTCAGACATACCCGAAGGTGCATCCAAATCCCTCAAACCAAGGCTCTGATACCAACTTGTAACACCGTAAATTTTCAAAAGAATTTTTGATTTTTAAATCATGTAATTCTCATAAAACAATTCACAAAAACCCCAAAAGTGTTAAATTATCCAAAACATAATTTCATAAAATGTTTAAATAAAATCCAGGATCCTCAAACATGACTCCATCTCGTGTGTACAATCAAGTCGTCGCCTTCCCGCGATCCTGAGAAGTACCTGAAACACATATCACATAACACGGTAAGCATGAAGCTTAGTGAGTTCCCCAAAATACCACACACTTCTCATTAGCCTCTCATGGCTATGTGTCTCAGTGGAGACCCTCCGGTCCCACAACTCGGGTTGGACCCTCCGGTCCCAACTCAATAAAGCTTAGCATAATACACAACATAAATCACAAAGACATAATGCAATATATCACAATACTCAATAATAACATAAAAGACCATTCGGTCACACAGAATTACCACTCATACTAAGTATAGTGAGAAGACTCACCTCGTAAGTAAGCAAAGAAATTGTGTACCTCTCGAACAGTCTAATCCCCGCCTACATGACATAAGCATCTCTAGCTAACACTTGAAATCACAACTCTAAGTAAAGTAATTATAGTCCTTCTCTAACTCTTGGGATGGGTAAAAGACCATTTTACCCATCCATGGTCTCCATTAGACCAAGCTTGACCAAACCCTAAAGTCAACAAAAGTCAACACTCGAGTCAACAGTCCATGTTGACCCAACTCGTTGAGTGCATCTACGCGACTCGTCGAGTCCCTTCGCTTTCTCAGAAGTATTGCGGAAATCAAACTCAACTCGTCGAGTTAACTCGTCAACTCGCCGAGTTACCACGTGTCCAGACTCATCGGGGAAAACCCTAATCGACTCGTCGAGTCAGCTCATTGACTCGTCGAGTCCATTCAGTTAACTTTCTTATTCAGACGTTTTTAGGCAGAAATGATGCCCCATACTCTGGATCTATCCTCCTAAGGTTCAATTATCACCTAAAGCTGCAAGCTGGCATCTAAGGCTCAAAATACCAAAACAAGCTCTAATAAGGGTTTCATGCATGGAAACTTGTCTAAAGCTGGATAAAGCTTGGACCTTTGGGCTCATGGTACCTCAACATGTCCAGATCTGGAGTCTCAACTCCATGAAAGACTTATAATACTCTAGAACTCAAGGAGGATGGGGAAAAGGGCTCTAACTCCCTAAAAACGAGATCTAACTAAGCAATGAGCAAGTTAGTGACTTTTTACCTTCAAACAGTAGCTAGGAATGGATGAACACCAGATCCAAAAGCTCTTTTCCTCATCCAAGGTCTTTTTCTTTTCAACATTCCCTCAAGAATGCACCAAAATCCACAATATTAGTCTCTCTTTCACTCACACAAGGTTGTAGCTCGATTAGGGTTTCTCACAGTGTAGTAGGGTGATAAGGGAGCTGGAAATAAGGGCTTAAGGTCCTTTAAATAGGACACAAACCCTGAAATTAGGGTTCTTACCCAGCTCCTACTCGTCGAGTCGGGGTCCTCCGACTCGTCGAGTAGACTCCAAAAATCATGCGGCCATTAAGTTCTCTACCCGGCGAGTTGAGGCATCCAACTCGTCGATTTGCTCTATCATTACAAATGCAATCTAATTTAATATTATACCTGGGAGTCAGGATGTTACAATTCTCCCCCAGTAGAATCAGACTTTGCCCTCGAAGTCAACCACCGGAAACGACTCGGGGTATTGCTCTCTCATCTCGGACTCCGGCTCCCAAGTCCATTCGGATCCCTTCCGATATTGCCACTGAACCTGAACTAAGGGCACCTCTTTATTCCTCAAGACCTTCACCTTCCGGTCCAAGATTGCTATCGGCCTCTCAAGATAGTTTAGGAGATCATTAACCTAAATGTCCTCTAAAGGGACCACTGCCGTCTCATCGGCTAGACACTTCCTCAATTAGGACACATGGAAGGTGTTATGAATCTGGCTTAATTCTGCAGGCAGCTCCAACCGGTAAGCTACCTTCCCCACTCGGGCGGTCACTCTGAAAGGACCGATATATCTAGGACCCAGTTTCCCCCGTTTCCTGAATCGAATCACCCCTTTCCATGGGGATACCTTCAGGAGGACATAATCTCCGACCTGAAACTCCAACTCAGATCGTCGTCGGTCTGCATAACTCTTCTGACGACTCTGGGCCGTGAGTAACCTCTGTCTGACCTGCTGAATCCTCTCAGTCGTCTTGAGCACTATCTCAGTGCTCCCCATCACCCTCTTCCCTACCTCTCCCCAACAAATGGGAGTCCGGTATCTCCTCCCGTATAAAATCTCGAAGGGAGGCATACCGATAATGGAATGATGGTTGTTGTTGTATGAAAACTCAGCCAAGAGCAAGTAAGTGTCCTAACTTCCACCAAAGTCCATAACACACGCACGAAGCATGTCTTCGAGCGTT